TACCCATGGGAGCCTTAGGTAACTAGCACCATTGACACCGAGGGGACTCTGCTTGTCACCCACAGCTCGGTCCAAACCCAGCGGCTCACCCGTGGGGACAGAGTTTTTTTGTATTCCAGGTGGTGTTTTGTATATAGCGCTGAAGCCGTTCGGGGCTTTTCCGGAGACAGCTGCGTTTTCTACTGCTTCAGGGGGATTAGACTTAAACTGTATCTCTGGATTTCGCTCAGGAGTAAATCCAAGCCCAGCTATTGAACTCGCAGCATCCCGTGATTTTTCCGAGCCGAGTCCGCACAAGCTGGAATAGACAATACTACTGGGGACTCTGAGTCCTTCTCTCATGAGTCCAGACCTGTCCATACTCAGAGCTGCGAGACTGTCAATGCGATGTGCTGTAGTCGCATCCACCTTTACAGAACAAGAAGTATGTTACTTTCACATTTCACTAACTCAACGGCCACTCAAGGTACAGACACATCAGCATTCAGGAAGAGAAACAATACCAAAGCGAACACACTGTTCATCGTGAAAACATACAGAGGCTGATCGCACTGGAAACAGAGGAGAACGGGAACCTATGGAGCAATATATACCACTGCGATTGTCAATACAAATTTTTTTCTGCAACCAAAATTCATCGGCTGGAAACAAAGGCGTGAAGATCCACAGCCCAAGCAGCCAGAAGTGGCCTAGAGACAATACTCAGTGGCACAACTCCCATGTGGCAACCAGCTCCTCGGCTCCAGCCCTGCCAGAGCAAGGGGGTGTGGGCTGAGGCATGAGGAGCAGGAAGAGAAGGACAGAGAGCCTCTCCTCCTCCTCCTCCACAACCTCTCCCTCTGCTGCAGCTTTGTTCCAGGGCTCGCCACCACTGCACAATTCATGGCGTGAGGCACCTGAGCATGCAGCATGAAGAAAGGTCCACCACCGAATTTCGTCCCCTCTCCCCATTCGTGCTCAAAGGAGGGGAAAACCACTGACTCTGCTGAAACGTTGACGTACTTAATGCTTACATGAACTATTTTACTAGACATGTGGGTACACTGCACGACAGCGTTCGTAACAGAGCGAAACTAAGAATATGATGTCATACAGCAACACAATACCACAAAGGCAGCAGCAAGAGATTAACAAGGTAAATAAACAGAATCAACTCGCGTGTGCCCAAGCTTGGCTAGAGCTGCAACAGAAAGGTGTTTTAATCATTTCTTAAAATTATTAACGTAATAACACCCAGGGGTAGGAGTCGGAGCAGGAAGGACAGGCACAGATTCAACTGCAGCATGAAGCTATTAACTTCTTACCACACTGTGATTCAGGTGATTTTCTTCCCTCAACTCCAGTCTGCTTTTCGGTGCATCGCCATCATTAACGGGAATTTTCCTATTAAGAAACGGAAGCTTACTACTTGAAAACACCCTGCGCATCTCATATCAGTAAAAGATTTTATCACCTCCATATTTTGATTCCCCTTGAGAAGTCCCCTATAATGCCATTTTTATCCTTCTGTGTACCTATGCACAGCAACTATTTAGAAAGCAAGGACCGACGAAAACAAGCACTAAAGGTTTTGACACTAAGAACACACCAAGCGCAACTCAGAGTAGCCTCTTCCAATGCAAATTATTTTTGTCAAGGCCTTCTCTTTTCCCTTTGACCTTTTCTTTTTCCAAGGAGGGAATATCTCATTTTACACATACCTTGCTCATGTACCATCCATAAAGGTTGAGAAATGAGGAGAAAAAACACACACGCCAATATCATACAAACATCAGCTGTTCCATGGTGAAGAGGGAGTTGCACATCTGTGCCATACCAGTGTTGCAGCACTGGGACTTGTTATCACAGAAAGCACCGATAAAGAATATACTTTAGTGCCAAATTTCAAATCCCTGGGATAAAAATCACTGACATGCAGCAGAAGGAAAGTTTCAGCATTACCCATAAGAACTCCTTTCAATCAAAGTGTTTAAAGGCACATCATCACCTTACAGCAGAAATGCGACTTTGATGTGTTTGTTTTTAAAAGATTCACCTTTCCTGCAAGCAGCACATGAAATCACTATCTCTAAATAACTGGAGGAAAGCAGGGAGGGAGGGTACAAAGTGAGATGTTTGGCCGTTTTCCTTCAGCTTAGGCTTGCAATCAGAACCCCCTGCACAGACCAAGAACCTTCTCCAGCTCCTTGGAGGCTTTTCACACAACAGTGAGAGAACACACGCTCAAAGAGAAGACAGAAAAACACTAAAACCACACAAAATTGGCACAAAGTACCACGCGCATAGCTGCAGCTTCTGTTCAGCGTCGTTTTGCTTTTTAAAAAGCTGGAGTTCAAAGGAAGAGGACATCAGCCAGTGCCCACGTCCCCCCATGGAAAATTATTAAAGCCTGTGATTTTAAGCATCAAATGGATGATATTCAGCAGGAAAAAAAAAAAGGTGGGGAGGAAGGGAAATTCACTTGTGGCAGATGGAAAGGCCACTGTTCCTATTTCACAGGACAAGCTGCTGGTCCCAAGGCAGGGAAACGCCGAGTTGCAGGCAGGAGCCCCACTGCCCTAGAGAGTCACCGCCAGAACACATGCACTATTTGGTTTAATTCCCCTTCACAAATACGAAATAATAAATTAATTGTAAAAGCACGTTTAAAGGCTGCTTCGGGGAGTAATCTCTTTAAAGGGCGTCCCCGCTTCACTGACCCAGGTTGCCTGTTAAATAGTAAATCAGCGGCTGCTCTGCCACTCTCAGGCACGTTTTGTTTCTCCCCTCCTGCCCTCTCTCCAAGCTGGGCTGATCTTGATGCGAGGCGGCAGCTATCTGCTCCAGTATTGGGGAAGCAAGCAAACTCCGAGACCTCACACTGCAGAATTACAGTGTGGTTTAACTTGCCAGAAGCTTAAATATTTACCTGTCTTCATTAATTCCACACATGCGGACCCTTTCATTGCTCATCCAGCTATGAACGTTGCCATACAGGGGAGTTGCAGAAAGCATGACGTCTTCTTAAAAATCGACACTTTTCTTCACGGTTTTATATGCTATTTAAAAAAAAAAAAAGGGGGAGGGGGAAGGAAAAAAAAAAGTTGAGCAGATTTGTCTAGGAAGAAGTGCAAACATCACGGCGGAGCAGCCAGTCTCCCTCCAGGTAATTAATAATGAATGCAGGATTGGTGTGGGGAGTGAGCTGCCTATGTTAACCGCTATGGGAAATACTCTGCAATAAAGGAGCAAATTGAGGGCATTTATAGGTCAGAGGAGATGGATCTTTTCCCCAGCGCACATCCAGAAAATTAAGAATCATTCCAGGCTATAGGCAAACAAAAGTTTCTCCACTGCATTTTGTTTCCACCAAGAAATGACTCAGCTGGCCAAGTACACACCAGTCCTCAAATCTCCATCTCACATAAGCTGAACAAAAGAGGGAGACCCCACGGGCTTGGGGAACACACAAAACTACCCACAGGTATTCACAAAGGCCCTGCAGGAGGAACGCAGGGGAGCAGGAGCGCAGCGCAAGAACAGGAGCACATCGCAAGAACCGTCACGTACCGCGTGTATTATCTACGCTGATTGCTGATAAAGCTTTCACGCGACGACTTAAAACTGAAGCGACGCTGCCACAAAAGGGATCTAAATAAAAACCTCCCCTTTAGCAACCGCACACGGCTAACTTGGAGAAAGGGGTTAAAAATAGTAAGCGGGTTGGCGAGCTCCCCACCCCTTGATTTGATTAAGCACCGAGCCTTGGTGGCTTCTGCATCCGAGCTGCTGCTGCTGCTGCTGCGAGTGCTTTCAGTAATTCAATGATGCCTGCTCACTCCAGGGAAAGAAATCATTAGCGGGCTCGCTGGAGAAGTATTAGCAGTCCAAGAGGATCAGCGCCGAGCGCAGCCGGAGAGGCAGGGGAAAGGTAACCGCATTTTCGTGTCCAGCGGCAGAGAGGGAAAGACTTTTCTTCCCCTCTATGTTGCCTAACACCACCTCCGCTCGCATTAAATCCTGGTTTGCTGCATGAGTGAAGTGTCAGGACAAGCTGCGTTTTATTAACAGGATTATCGCGGCGCATGATTTATTCCAGTGCAAGATTTTAATTGCTCTTCGGAGGTTGAGTCGTTTCTTCTGACTGAGCTTCAGCCTGCATCCTGCTGCTAAATGCTGGGTTAATAAGTAGGGGGAGCCTTTAATGCACAGGATATCCCTCAGCTCTTCCTCTCTCACAAAAATAGAAGCCTTTAAGCGGGAGGCATGATACTCCCTTTTACACACACACACAAGCCAGTAACGGGCGATTGACCACTGGGAGTTTAATGCCTAACGTCTCCCAAAGCACCCATGCTTCCCCAGCAAACTCATTTCCTTTGTCAGGCTGCAAAATATGCAAATGATCGCTTTGGCATTTAATGGGGAAGAAGCCCAGATTGGGCCTTTAACACAATACTTCTCACAGGTTCAGAGAGGTTTAAGAACTGAAACGGCAGGAAAGCCTTGTTCCCCAGCACTTTTTTCTCCCCTCAGAGAGGCCTTTTGTGCAAAACTCCACGTCTGGAACAAATGTATATTAATGAAACGGCGCGTTGACCCTCCTCTCTCCAGAACGGTTAGCTTTCCTTAATGAAGTCCGCAAAAATCGCTGTGAGGAAACAAAAATCCGCCGAGATTAGATACCGCGCTATCATTCAAAAGAAGTTATTTCTCCGGAAAGACAGTTTCTGGACAGATTTACCGTTTTCCAGATGCGCCGCTCGTAATGTTTTCAATAGAGGCAGCAGCGGCACAGAGAGAGTGATTTAGGGTTTTACACAAGGTTAGTAGCCACCCCGTGCGCTGCCTCACCCGTGAGGGACAGACACCAGCTCAGAGGAGACGGCCTCAGCGGCGCATGGTCCCAGTCCCTACACCCCGCTCTGCTTTCGGGGCTACGCGAGGCCAACCCACGCCGCTCCTCGGAGGGGCTGCCTGTGCCCACTTGGTTTTCCTCGGTGGAAGTGTATCATTAAGATAAGGCACGGCGCCTGAATTAGAGCCCCTCAATCCCCCGACATGTGTAGATAGCAAAACGCTTCCATTGCACGGGTGGCCAACAGCTTCCCTGGCCCCAGCGGGTCATCTGGAGGTCCCAC